AGGACCTGTATATGAGTTTGTATGCATTTCATTTAGGACAGATAATCTCAACTGTTTTAGGGTAAGTTGGCCATGACGGTCAACATGGTAACGCTGCCCGAACCCCAATCCGGGGCGAAACGTCCGAAACTGACCACACCCAAAAACGACGCTTTCGCCATACTGCTATCTACCAAACCATAAAAGCTTTGGTTATTCTGAGGTGCTTATATGGTTCAGAGATGGTACTTTTGGGGGTGGTCATTGGTAAGTGTGAAATGCCAAGCACTAATATTTCACAAGAAAATGGCCATGCAATAATCATAGTTAAACGTCAATTTGTGGCTTGCAAATTCAGATAAACAGCAGTGGACTTACATTACCTTTTTCCCTAAATCTTTTTGATAGAAACATAAGTGGTACTTATTTAAATATATTATCACTGGTTTGGTGTGAAATAGTTAATATTTTCTGACCGAAAGAATAATTTGAAATGTGCCTACCTCCTGCAAATGGACGTATTTGGCCAAGTTCTCCACTTTACTCCGCTGTTTATCGGCGATCTCGTCGACATCCTACAAAAAATGTAAATCATCTCAGACATAATGGTATCAAGAACATTTTAAACAAGTTTCGACTTGGTTTCAAGTAGATCATACCTGTTTAACCATCGACAAGGTAAATCCACAACTTTGTCCAAATTCGGCGCCATTTTGTCATCCCATGTCGCTTGTTAATTACAATTCAGCCTTGTTACTCTTCCATCCAAGCCATTTCCATTCCACTAATAATAAATTTAACCCTTTATAACAGGAGGAAACTAAAAAATCTAAACAAAATATAAGAAATACGCCATTTTATCACCATGTAAAATTTTGCTCACGAGTCTTTCAAAACATTCCGTACAAATATCGCGTGACAAAGTAACAGGGACGTGACAGGAGGGGGTGAATTATTTCACGAAGATAGAAGAAGGTTGCGTGAAATAGACTAAAAGCTAAATACAATCATACAAATGTTTGTTTTATTTCTTGTAGCGACAAATATATACATATTATTATTTATTAATATGAAAAAGTCATACAAATTAAATGTTGATTGTTGGTTTTACCATAATGTGTGGGCATTCCTTTCATTTTTCAAGTCTCTTCCCCCCCTGTCACGTCCCTGTTGCTAAACCACGCGAGATTTGTACGAAATGTTTCGAAGGACTCGTAAACAACATATTTTTACAGGGTGATAAAATGGCGTATTTCTTGTATTTTGTTTAGATTTTTAGTTTCCTCCTGTTATAAAGGGTTAAATGTATTATTAATGGAATGGAAATGGCTTGGATGGAAGAGTAACAAGGCTGAATTGTTAACAAGCGACATGGGATGACAAAATGGCGCCGAATTTGGACAAAGTTGTGGATTTACCTTGTCGATGGTTAAACAGGTATGATCTACTTGAAACCAAGTTGAAACTTATTTGAAATGTTCTTGATACCATTATGTCTGAGATGATTTACATTTTTTGTAGGATGTCGACGAGATCGCCGATAAACAGCGGAGTAAAGTGGAGAACTTGGCCAAATACGTCCATTTGCAGGAGGTAGGCACATTTCAAATTATTATTTCGGTCAGAAAATATTAACTATTTTACACCAAACCAGTGATAATATATTTAAATAAGTACCATTTATGTTTCTATCAAAAAGATTTAGGGAAAAAGGTAATGTAAGTCCACTGCTGTTTATCTGAATTTGCAAGCCACAAATTGACGTTTAACTATGATTATTGCATGGCCATTTTCTTGTGAAATATTAGTGCTAGGCATTTCACACTTACCAATTACCACCCCCAAAAGTACCATCTCTGAACCATATAAGCACCTCAGAATAGCCAAAGCTTTTATGGTTTGGTAGATAGCAGTATGGCAAAAGCGTCGTTTTTGGGTGTGGTCAGTTTCGGACGTTTCGCCCCGGATTGGGGTTCGGGCAGCGTTACCATGTTGACCGTCATGGTCAACTTACCCTAAAACAGTTGAGATTATCTGTCCTAAATGAAATGCATACAAACTCATATACAGGTCCTAGACTATTTGAAGGTAGCTTGTATGTCAGGCTCGATGCTTGAAATAGAGCCTGTTATACCCTGTGAGAAAAGTCCTCTCGTATTTCTTCTCGGCACGGCACAGATTGCAATCAAATTAAATATCAGTTTTCCAGCAAATCTACCAAATCCCCCATGATGGAAAATGTCAAAATCCTCACCCCAGAGCTAAAAAATATCGGCAATAGCCCCACCCCCGTGATTAGGAACTGCTGGAATTAATTGATATATTAGATTATCAAAGCTAATTTAAAATATGACAGTAACGGCCAACTTTTCCACCAATATCTCAAAACTAAATATTCCAATTTTTATCGAATGGCCAGGAATTACATATTAAATAATAATATTAATAACTGTTATTGACTGCAGCAAAGGCAGTCATTAACATGGCCAAAAGTAGTTAAAGTACAATTACAAGTACGGAATATCATTACGTAAACAACAATTTGGCATTACCTTAAAAACAAAGCTATTTATTTCTGACCAATGGGAATTTTGCGTACGAATCATGTGCATCAATCCTTTTTACTGACCTCAGTAGCAGGCTTTATTTCAGGCATAAAGCCTGACACGCTAGTTACTTTTAATAACCCATTGAGTTGCATTGCCCCCCTCCCCCCCCTACGTAATTTCAATACATTGTTTTCACCATTGTGTTTAATATACAACCTTGAAAATTTACTACACGTGTAGTAGGAATTTCCATTGTGTTTGCAGCCCTTACACTTTGTGTTTCATTATGGCATCTTGATCTTCAAAGAGTCTATTACTGTGGCTCCAACATTTTCCCGTTCGGCGTTAGAAACACAATACATTGATCATAAAAGGACTGAAATATTACAGATTTAACCCAAATAAACAGCAGTTTGCGAATATTACTGTTGCGATTTACAAAGGTTGCGGCCACTGAGGTTGCGGCACCGCCGGCACGTTCCAACTTTGTAAAATTGAAAATTATGAACTTTTGTCCTCTATTTCAAGCTTGTAGCCTTCCAAGTTTACTCACATAAAATGACTTTCGCTTTATAAAGTCTGTTTCATCGGAAAACTTTTAAGGTTCATCGGAAAAATAAAAAAAATATGTACAAAATCGATACCATTCGCTCGTAGCAAGCGGCCATCTTGAATTCAACGACAATAGTAATGACGCAATTTTTATTTCTTATTAATGACGTAATTGTCATTTTGTGGCTAACGATCCAAGATCCGACACAAATGCGTGCCGAAACCTAGAGTCGCCGCGGGCTCTGCCCAGCGACTAATAATTTTAGTTCCTTCCTCAGACTTTTTCTTGAATTTTTATGTATTAAATAAATTAAGCTTCAATGTATATCTCTATAAATCTCTTCCTTTTTCCAGGGATGCGAATGACCAACTACCAATACATATAGCAACAAGTAAAGGTATACGGAACAACATTGAACTCTTGTTACGAGAAGATCCTGATGTTGTTGATGAGGTCGATAATTCTGACCAATCACCGATATTGTTGGCAGCTAAGAATGGCTTCCCTAATGTCGTATCATATTTACTCACTAAAAATGCTAATTACAAAATGAAAGATAAATACGGTCTTACAGCGTTTGATTGGGCAGTGAAGCGCTCATTACCAGATGTTGTTCAGGTTTTCCTTAATATAGATGGCTGGAAAGAGGTAAATATATACAGAAAATTAGCCTATTTATTAGATTAGACTCAAGGGACGAGTAAAATCTAGCTATAAGGACTGTATAGTTCGTTATTCTGGATTAAATAAATGAATGCAATCCTATAAGAAATGTCATTTACGACCCAACGTCTCGACATTGCAGTATAGTGTCCTCATTAGGGTTATCGTGATCTGCTCTGCTTTTGGTTCGGGGTATTTTACTGTGTGCACATGTGCGGGGATCGTGACTAAAACGCCACACGAGTACATACGAGTAACACACAAGTACATACGAGTACATACGAGTAACATACGAGTACATACGAGTAACATACGAGTAACACACGAGTACATACGAGTAAAACACAAGTACATACGAGTACATACGAGTATAATACGAGTACATACGAGTAGAATACGAGTAAAATACGAATAGTAAACTTGTTTTTAGTGTTTGTAGATTGAATACAGGCAAAAAGATCGTCTTCTCTGTCGAAAAACGTGGAATGGAGGAACGGGGAATGGAGGAACGGGCAATGGGGGAATGGAGGAACGGGAAATGGGAGAACGGGGAATGCGGGAACGGGGAATGGGGGGACGGGGAATGGGGGGAGCGGGGAATGGAGGGAATGGTGGGGCGAGGGGGGGGGATAGGGGCGGGGGAGGTCTGCCCGATTCTATAAACCACAATTTTGTAGTTTGTACAACATCTACTTTTAGGTATTCTACCTAGATAGTTAGATACATGACACAGACCATAGGCTTCACATATTTCACGGCATGGTTTGCTTTCAAAACCCTGTGAGCATGCACATAACCTAACTGCATCTATACTTAAATAGTACTAGGTGATAAACTTACAATCCTCACATAGCCTCAATTACAACATGTGGCTAGGCAAATATACGAACTACACAGTTAACGTATACCGTGACGACATACGACAGTTCCGAGACCGAAATACAGGACAACAGGGCCTTTTTTAAGGATTTTCCCGTGGGGGGGGGGGCATTTTTTGAAAAGGGACCTTTCTGTGAGATAATATTAGAGGGGATATCAAAGGCCGACGGCCACGTGTGTGGCCGACATACTCCCCCAGAAAATGTTTTAAATTTGAACCTTTCAAATGCCATTTCCTGCTTTATGAGCATCTAAATTTTCTCTAAAATTTATGCTAATTATACTTGTATTTGAAATAAAAGAAGGAAGAAATGCAGAAAAAATAAAAGAAATATTAACAATAATTTATCCATTACTTATTATTAAAGGGGGATAGCAATGGCCGTGTGTGGCCGACATACCGTGAATGAATAGGGGGGTTTGGGGCATACTTCCCCAGAAAAGTTTTGAAATTTGAAGCCCAAAAGTGCCATTTCCTGCCGTCTGAGCATCTAAATTTGCTCTAAAATTTATCCTAACTATACTTCTATTTGAAATAAAAGAAGGAAAAAACGCACAAAGAATTTAAAAAATATTAACAATAATTTATCATTACTTAGTGTTAGAAACACGTAGGATGCGCACGCGGTGACACAGTCCTTTAAATCGATTCGTTAAACAAGGACAAAGGATAAAGCCTAAAACTTACGTTCCGCTTATCAATTTGTTATTCTTCGCTGGTTTGTTTGTATAAATTTAGGAAAAAGGACTTTTTCTGGGGGGGGGGCAAAATGTGATTTCGTGGGGGGGGGCTGCCTCCTCCGCAGGCCCTCGTTGTGTCATGGGAAGGTCACGATTTCGAGAGGGCCTGAATGGAATCTTGTAAAATGAATAAATGTTGTTTTGAACCTGCTTCGTTAAAGAAGGCAGTTTTATTCGTGCAACGTTGGTGTGGACAAGAAACCTTATCGTTAAAAATGCTTCCTTCCACGTCCTAAGAGTCGCCAGTTGAATTTACAAGTTTCACACCGCTTTTTTATATCTGTTTGTATTCAAGATATGTAGAAATTTACTTGCTGACGTGACGCCGGCGCCATTGTTTTTACAAGATTCCGCAGGCCCTCGCCAGATCATGACCTTCCCATGACGCAACGAGGGCCTGCGGAGGAGGCAGGGGGGGCACAAGGGGGGACTGGGGGGGGAATGCCCCCCCCCTCAGCTTGTATGTTAAAAAAGGCCCTGCAGGACAAATCCAGTTTTCAAGTGAGCCTCAGAACGTGCATTTTCATTTCCGATCAGCCTGCATCAGAGCAAAGTATCCAAGCTTTCTTGGCGACGTTCTCGTTCCTCCAGACTTTCCTTCCCTTTTCAAGGTGGAGCACGTCCAAAGGCTTGCAGGAGAGTTCGGCTGGGTCCTTTAGAAACGTACTTGCCAACTTAAATTGCTAACTTAAAATCTGCGTATTTTGGAGTATTTTGTGTTTTGTTAGTTTTGCTTTGTAAGATATTTAAAATAGGATAATCACTTTAAGATATCATATGGAGCATAAGGACCGCCTTGGGCTTGCATCTAGTCCTTAAGTTTGTTTTATTATATAGCAAGTATATTAGTAATGACATAAGCAATGTTATTGTTATTAATATTACTTAATGGTCGGACATAATCAATGTGGA